TTCTTCAATGTTCTACAATGAGCATCATGAGTAATACTATTCACAGACTGTAGCTGGGTCGTTCCACCAATTCGGTACCTTTTGAAAAGTGTAACTTGGTCAAGAAAAACGTTGATTTCACCTCATTTTAACATTCTGTCATAAAGAGCTCATGTTCAACTTTATAAAACAAATATAAACAAATCCGTTTTAAGAGGTTAAAGACAATGACTATAGTAAGTGCCTATTAAGTGCCAAATAAAGTAACAGGGTTGACCGTAACAGGGTTGACATTTTCATCTTAACCCTCCCTTTGTCCTAGGGTCAAAATGACCCGCCACTGTGTTGAACCAACTTTATTCAATTTTTATATTTTTGGGATCATTTGTGAGAAGGAGGCAGTGAGACTTTAAAGAAAGTATCACTGCCTCCTTCTCACAAATGATCCAAAAAATATAAAAATTAAATAAAGTTGGTTCAACACAGTGGCGGGTCATTTTGACCCTAGGACAACGGGAGGGTTAAATCAGCCATAAATCCATTTGTGACCGGATGAATGGAAGCTTGTTGTGTGCAATAGGGAGTGGCGATTGAATGAAGCTTTACAATTTTATTGTATATTTTTTACATTTCTAGCCTGTCTGTCTATTTTTTATGTCAAACGTTTTTGTTATGTCAGTCTTCTGTAATGTACATGAAGTGTCATATTGGAATGCAAACTCAAAATGGAATACGTTTCAACTCTATATCTGACATGGTACTGGTGTCTTCTTTTTTTTAACTCATAACCATGTGTTTGTTTTAAAGTAGATTTGTTTAAGACTACCAAGAAACACTATGTGTGACCCTGATTTAGCCCACTGCAGTAAAAGGTTTTATGTGGGTTAAAATCTTCCTAGAAGTCACTGATGGAAAATGCTGAATTGTGGCATTGAAGCAAGTCTTTATTCATATAAAAAATAAGATGTATTGAATTCTCCATGTGGTCTATATTAAAGGGCACTTAATTTAATAGATCAGGCTTTTAAAACTCAATATTGGTGCACAATTTCTACTTAAAATATATTTAGGGAACGACCCAGATTTATTCATAGTTTGCATCCCAAATGGCACCTTATTCCCTATATAGTGCACTACTTTTGACCAGGGCCATGCACCAAATATAGAATAGGGTGTCATTTGGGACGTAACCATAGTTGGGTCACATTGTGCATCTTTCTCACTTTCTTCCCCAAGTTGCAATGTTGTTGATCGCAGTTTTCAGATTGCAGAAAATAATTAGTTTCTCCCTGAGTATGTTGATATTAATATTCATGATATTATGATGTTGATGCTGTGTCCCTCAATGCTTGTCATTTAGGATGTGAGGGCCTATGAGATACAGAGCTAAATATAAGCCTCTGACACTGTAGTATCAACAGTGCAGTAATGAGCTTCAAGCCAGTCACTCATCATACCTGCTTGAAGTAATGCTACTTTCTTTCAAGATGATGAGTAGTCCAGAAAGAGGCACTTAGATGGTAGATAGGACCAAGCTTAACAGAAACAAAGTACAGGAATATATGTTGTCTTGTGTTCTTGTGATGCATGGATTTCCCCTATGTCTTTCCATTAAATGATTGCATGTTCATGTCGCCGGGTCTTGTAGGCTACTTGTGTCTATTGTCAGATGAGATTTAAGTGGACGACCTACTGATGTAGTAGGGTATAGCGACACATGCAGGTGCACGTTGTCAATAATAGGACAGAGTCACACATCCATGTACATGTGCCTCTTTCTTAATATGTACACCATACAGGACTTCCTGTGTGGCACGTGGAAGAGGTGAATGCTAGTAGTATGGCTCTTTACAGCTTTGGCAGTGGTGGAAAATGTACTCAATTGTCATACTTGAGTAAAAGTAAAGATACCTTAATAGAAAATGACTCAAGTAAAAGTGAAAGTCACCCAGTAAAACACTACTTGTAAAAGTATAAAAGTATTGGGTTTTTAATGTACGTAAGTATCAAAAGTAAATGGAATTGCTCAAATGTACTTAAGTATCAAAAGTAAAAGTATAAGTATAAATCATTTCAAATTCCTTATATTAAGCAAACCAGATGGATAGCCAGGGGCACACTCCAACACTCAGACATAATTTACAAACAAAGTGTTTGTGTTTAGTGAGTCCGCCAGATTAGAGGCAGTAGGGATGACCAGGGATGTTCTCTTGATAAGTGTGTGAATTGGACCATTTTCCTGTCAAAATGTAACGAGTACTTTTGGGTGTCAGGGAAAATGTATGGAGTAAAAACTACATTATTTTCTTTAGGAATGTAGTGAAGCAAAAGTAAAAGTTGGCAAAAATATAAATAGTAAAGTAAAGTACAGATACCCCCCAAAACTACTTAAGTAGTACTTTAAAGTATTTTTACTTAAGTACTTTACACCACTGAGCTTTGGTTGCGTCCCAAGTATCTTTCCTTTACCCCCAAAGTGTGTAGCCAAGTGTGTTAATTTCCCTTCTTAGATTTGAAAGGTAATGACTGGTACATGGAAACTCCTTCCATCCCATGCCTACACCAATCCAATGTTTTTAAATGTGTGTGGAGTAGTAGTGAAAAAGTGCACACTTCAGAAGGAAGGAGAGATTATTGGGACGCAACCTTGGTGTCTTTCCCAGAGGGGCTTTATCCTCCCTATAGGTGCTGTGTATTAGGTGTCCCCGGACATTATCGGTTACTGAGTTGTTGGATATTCTCAAGGGAGCTTCAGGTTGTTTAGGCCTATATATTTCAGAGTTTTCCTCATGGAGGGAAAAAGTGATAGCAGGTAGCATGAGTGCGTTGCTGACATTTGGCAAAGATACCCTGCCTGCCACAGAGGATCAGTCCTAGGGTAACTGAGCTTCATGGTGACGGCTTATGTTCCTCCTATGATGCCATGTTGTAATTGCCATCGATATGAAGATTTTGCGGCTGTGTTGGTGACACAGCGGAAGTGTGATACATTTGGGAGGATTTTTGTGGGAGAGAACCATTCATTTGTAAAACATGTCTGGGACTGCGGCAAGGTGCTTCATTTGTGTTGCGGATCATGTGGAGGGTTATTGGGGAGGTATCAAGCATCCATTGAAGAACAATGGGCTGGGGTTGTGTAGAGTTCACACCATCAAGATTGATGGCTCTCTATGAAGTTTGAGTGTATATCTGTGGAGGTGTTGTGCTCGCAGAGCAGGCTTACAATGGTCCATTTGTTTGACCCATGCCTCTCACTTGAGATCTATCAATCAATCACAGACATTTTACCACAACATTTGTCAGAAAGCGCTTATAGTGCCCATCCTATACCCCCAAAGAGCAAGCATCAGCACAGTAGCAAGGAAACACTTCCTAGAAGGAAGAAACCTCATTAAAACTGAGAGGCGGAGGAGGGGGTCATCCTCTGCTGTAGGCCTACACAGTATGGTAACATGCGAGTGCAAAGGCCAGTATCTTAAAGAATGAAGTAACCATTCAGCTAAACAAATAGCCCATCAAATATGAAACAAATCTTCTCATCTAATCTCCTTAGAAATCTTTATTTTTAGGAACTGCCCTGAAGGCAACGTCGCAGATGGAAGATATTAGGGAGCTAAATGGATTTAGAGTCAAAGTGACATGATTTTATGCTACTTGGCATATGGTAGCAGATTGAGCTTCTGTCTATTTTTAGTCTTCAACCAAAGTCTTGAATTATGGAAGTCTGAAAATAAGAATGGTCTGTGCATTGTGACTGTTTTTACTTCAAGGAAAATCTGATGTTAAAATTTCCAATCAGGATTTTGCCTTTTGCTGTAAGAATACTGTAGGATATTTATTCCCTATGTTTGTTTTGTTTATTACCTGTGAAGGAAAGTGGCCACAGGAAAGGAAGGAATTTTCCTCCATGATTCCTCTAGGTTTTTTCCTGCATGACTTGTTTGTACCTCCCGAGTGGTGCAGTGGTCTAACGCAGTGCTAGCTGTGCCACTAGAGATCCTGGTTCATATCCAGGCTCTGTCGTAGCTGGCCGTGACCGGGAGACCCTTGGGGCAGCGCACAATTGGCCCAGGGTAGGGGAGGGAAAGGGCAGGGGTGGGAATGTCCGGCAGGGATGTAGCTCAGTTTGTAGAGCATGGCGTTTGCAACGCCAGGGTTGTGGGTTCGATTCCCACGGGGGGCCAGTATAAAAAAAAAAAAATGTATGCACTCTGGATAAGAGCGTCTGCTAAATGACTAAAATGTAAGGGGCAGCACTTGTTACAGTATTGTGTGTGTGTTGTCACATGAAATACATGACTCCTCAAGGGTTGTCCGTTTGAAGTTGCCCACAGAATATAATTATTTTGATCAGAGAGGGACATCCTGCTTTAGAAATGGCCAATTCAGGGGGCAGTCACAATCAGGATAAGAAGCATTGCATTCAATTTGAAGGACACACTTTAAGTAGACACTCATGTTCCTAAGAAACAGCTGGAATACAAGATTCAAGATGGGAATTCTGTGCCAAACATGAACCATTTTTGTTTAGGGCAGTCTCTGAGCAACCATTCATGTCCATACAAGAACAATACAAGATACAAACAATGACAATTTTTTTAGAGCAGTCTCTGACCTAGCATTCTTGTTTTTCCATTTCTCAAATATACAGATTAATTAAAGAAATTCTGAGGGATGGTGATTTTCAGCCAATAGTAAATAAATAACTGAAATAAAATATCTGTGGATTGAATGTATCCAAGGACAATATTGTGAGCTCAAAATAGCTCAAGATTTCAAACTCAAGATCGCAAGATAGTCATACTGTATATAGCCAAACTAGCTATCTGTCCAGAGAGACAAATCGAAGGCATATGTAAAGTTTTAATGGTACATTTGAAGTTGAATCTGTTCTTTACCTAAACCTGCGAACTGTACTTGTTCTTTTATTTTCGTGTACATTTCACATTTCCTGACTAACACTGAATGCTCTCTCCATCTCAAATAAAAGCTTGTCTCTCTATCCACAGCTGCACTCCAACATGGACAGAGGCGATGGTAACGTGAAGTACATTCTCACTGGAGACGGGGTGGGAAGCTTGTTTTTAATAGACGAGAACTCAGGTGACATTCACGCCACTAAGAGGTTGGACAGGGAGGAGAGGGCCATATACACACTCCACGCTAAGGTGGTGGACAAGAGGACCAATGAGACACTGGAGGCTGATACTGAATTTAACATCAAGATCCACGACATCAACGACAATGAGCCAAAGTTCTCTAAAGACATTTATTTCGCCAGTGTCCCAGAGATGTCTGATGTAGGTGAGTAATTGGTCCTCTTGTGATGCTTTATTTATGTGAAGAAATGTGAATGACAATTATTTCTTTAACCTATTTAGTTCACAGAGGCAGAGATACAGTGCCTTGCAAAAGTATTCATCACCCTTGGCGTTTTTCCTATTTTGTTGCATTACAACCTGTAATTTAAATGGAGTTGTATTTGGATTTAATGTAATGGACATACACAAAATAGTCCAAATTGGTGAAGTGAAATGAAAAAAATAACTTGTTTCAAAAAATTCAAAAAAATAAATAACGGAAAAGTGGTGGATGCATATGCATTCACCCCATTTGTTATGAAGCCCCTAAGTAAGATCTGGTGCAACCAATTGCCTTCAGAAGTCACATAATTAGTTAAATTATGTCCACCTATGTGCAATCTAAGTGTCACATGATCTCAGTATATATACACCTGTTCTGAAAGGCCCCAGAGTCTGCAACACCACTAAGCAAGGGGCACCACCAAGCAAGTGGCACTATGAAAACCAAGGAGCTCTCCAAACAGGTCAGGGACAAAATTGTGAGAAGTAGAGATCAGGGTTGGGTTATAAAAAAATATCAGAAACTTTGAACATCCCACGTAGCACCATTGAATCAATTTGTTTTAAATTGAAAGAATATGGCACCACAACAAACCTGCCAAGAGAGGGCCACCCACCAAAACTCACGGACCAGGCAAGGAGGGCATTAATCAGAGAGACAAAGAGACCAAAGATAACCCTGAAGGAGCTGCAAAGCTCCACAGCGGAGATTGGAGTGTCTGTCCATAGGACCACTTTAAGCCATACAGTCCTGGGCTTTACGGAAGAGTGGCCAGAAAAAAGCCATTGCTTAAAGAAAGAAATAAGCAAACATGTTTGGTGTTCGCCAAAGGCATGTGGGAGACTCCCCAAACATATGGAAGAAGGTACTCTGGTCAGGTGAGACTAAAATTGAGCTTTTTGGCCATCAAGGAAAACGCTATGTCTGGCGCAAACCCAACACCTCTCATCACCCCGAGAACACCATCCGCACAGTGAAGCATGGTGGTGGCAGCATCATGCTGTGGGGATGTTTTTCATCGGCAGGGACTGGGAAACTGGTCAGAATTGAAGGAATGATGGATGGCGCTAAATACAGGCAAATTCTTGAGGGAAACCTGTTTTTGTCTTCCAGAGATTTGAGACTGGGACGGAAGTTCACCTTCCAGCAGGACAATGACCCTAAGCATACTGCTAAAGCAACACTTGAGTGGTTTAAGGGGAAACATTTAAATGTCTTGAAATGGCCTAGTCAAAGCACAGACCTCAATCCAATTGAGAATCTGTGGTATGACTTAAAGATTGCTGTACACCAGCGGAACCCAACCAACTTGAAGGAGCTGGAGCAGTTTTGCCTTGAAGAAATATCCCAGTGGCTAGAGGTGCCAAGCTTATAGAGACATACCTCAAGAGACTTGCAGCTGTAATTGCTGCAAAATGTGGCTCTACAAAGTATTGACTTGGGGGGGGGGGGGGGGGGGTGAATCGTTATATACGCTCAAGTTTTCTGTTTTTTTTGGGTCTTATTTCTTGTTTGTTTCACAATAAAAACATATTTTGCATCTTCAAAGTGGTAGGCATGTTGTGTAAATCAAATGATACAAACCCCCCAAAAATCCATTTAAATTCCAGGTTGTAAGGCAACAAAATAGGAAAAATGCCAAGGGGGTGAATATTTTCACAAGCCACTGTAATCAATGAACTGCATATCAGTCAAATCATGTCATTCACACCATACTATGCTTAAGTAATAGTGGAAGGTTGAAATTAAAGCGTAACCAACCACCATTTATTGAAGATCAGACTCAACAAGTTCTGGTTTGGGCACTGTGAAAAGGTGTACTGTAAAAGTAAAAGTTGTACAGTAAAAGCACTGTAAACCACTAGTACTATGAGGCAGACTTCCCTTTAAGGTCGATGCTTCCAGTTTCCAGAATGAGAAGTGTCTATTTGTTTGTTAATTAATTAATTCATCCATTTTTTTCATTCATTCTTTCATTAATTTGTTATTTCGTTCATTCATTATTCATTCATTCATTCATTCATTCATTCATTCATTCATTCATTCATTCATTCATTCATTCATTCATTCATTCATTCATTCATTCATACATACATACCCTCGGTAATGTCAGAATGATGCATTTATCATGTGATTTCTTGTGTGTTAAGTGCATAGCCATTACCAAATGGTAGGTCACGGTCACCAATGCTTCACCAAACAGATGAACAAACTGCCCATGGCCAAATTGCCCAAATTGCACCCTTTCCCTAGTGCACTTCTTTTGACCAGGGCCCATAGGGATGCATCACGTGTGTTTAGAAGGTGCAAACTGGTTTGTCAGAGCAGGCATCCGCGAAGAGTCAGCAGCTAGCTCCCTTTCATGTTCTCATTGCAGACAGCTGTTCCTGCAGTCATTAGTATGCTTGAAGACAGTCAGACTTAGCCAGGACGTTACAGAGGTCTCCAGAATGCCAAGGACAAATGCGTTCCAACTGGCACCCTATTCCCTATAGTGCACTAAATAGGGAATAGGATGCCACTTGGGATGCAGACATAATCTGAGCGGTGGCTTGACAATTTATGACGTACATCACAGGGCTATGATCCACACACTAGGGGTCAGTTTCGCAGACATAGATTAAGGCTAGTCTTGGACTAAGTGGCACTTTCAATGGAGAATATCAGTTGAACATGATTTTTTGTCTAGGACTGTGTCTGGGAAACCAGCCACTAGAGGTCTGATGCAACTCCAAGTATACCTACAGTTTGGCTTAGTATTGGAACAAGAATTACATTTTTGCCCAAAAAAGTATAAACTGTACTCTCTTGTTCACCCCAGCAGAGCTTGGATAATTTCAGCTCAATTTACTTCCCGCTCATAGATGATTATGATACGTTCTGTGGAAATGCTTTTTGGGGAATTGATTATTTTTAGCTATATTTATAATGACAAGAGCAATGTGCTGTGCATATTTCCCTAGGCAAGGTTAACAAGGTACTGTGCAACATCAATTGCAAAGCCTCACACAACTTCTGCCTCCCTTTGAGCTGGATCGCATTTAAAATTATTTTGTCAAATTTTATTGTGGTTATAATGACTTTATTATATGCATGCTATATCATTCCTAGTAATTGCTCTGTGGGTACTTAAATTCGATGTATGGCTATGTGCATTATCTTGGATGTATAGCTATGGGCATTTTGTTGGATGTATGGATGTGCATTATCTTGGATGCAGAGATAGGGCCGGCAGGTAGCCTAGCGGTTAGAGTGTTGGGCCAATAACTGAAAGGTAGTTATTTCGAATCCCCGAGCCAACAAGGGGAAAATATGTTGATGTGCCCTTCAGCAAGGCACTTAACCCTAATTGCTCCAGGGTCACCGTTAATAATGGCAGCCCCTGGCAGTGACCCCACTCTCCGAGGGTGTCTCAGGGAGAGTTGGGATATGCAAGAAACACATTTCCAATTGCATATTAATACATACTTGTACATTTGTGAAATAGGACAAATATAAGCACCCACCAAATTATATTATCTGTATTTTGCTATGTACTGTAAGGTCTCTATCTTCTCCTCAACAGGCACATCAGTTATTCAAGTCACCGCGACAGATGCTGATGATCAAACATACGGGAACAGTGCCAAGCTTGTGTACAGTATTCTACAGGGTCAACCATATTTCTCAGTGGATTCAGACAATGGTAATCTAATCACAACACCCACAACGGGCATGCAAACACTTGAAAGAAGCGATCATGTGTGTATCTCTCCTCCTCTACTCTGCAAACAGAGACCCAGCAGCACTCAGTTTGGGGTGTTTGTTTAGGGAATGAGATGTGAGTTGAGCTGATTCATAGTTTTCCTCTCTACTCTATCTCTATGTTAGTCAGGTCGCATCAAGAAATGATATTTTAATAGTGGATGAATATAATGGCTGCTGTGAACTCTTGGCTTCAATGGCTTGTGGTGTTAATATAAACTCTTAGGGTTCAATGGCTGTTCCCATAGAATAACCCTTTTCGGTGTCAGGTAGAACTCTTTTGGGTTCCATGTACAAGCCTCTGTGGAAAGGGTTTTGCATGGAACCCAAGTGGGTTCTACTTGGAACTCAAAGGGGTTCTACCTGGAATCAAAAAGGGTTCTCCAATGGGGACAGCCGAAGAACCCTTTTAGGTTCTAGATAGCACTTTACAGTAGTGTTCTGCTTTTGATACCTTCTTTTGATAACTACAACATTCTTGTGATATATTGCGCTTATACTAATGAGGACTGGCAATTCAAATGTATTTACTCTAAATTAAGTAGATCTTGTCCTTGTAAATTAGTTTAATCTCATGTTAAACCTGACCAGTCATACTGATAATAGTCTATTTTCTCATTCAGGCACGATCAGGACAGCCCTGCCTAACATGGACAGAGAGACCAAGGAGAACTACCAGGTTGTGATCCAGGCTAAAGATATGGCTGGCCAGATGGGTGGGTTATCAGGGACCACCACAGTCAGAATTACCCTCTCTGATGAGAATGACAGCCCACCCCGCTTTGCTAACCGTAAGAGACCTTCCCTCTTCTCATCTTTGTTGATATTCTGTTTTTCGTGAAGGCAAAAAGTGCTGTACATATACTACTGTATGTGCTTTCTTTTTGCTATCACTGTGCACATTTTTTAAAACTGAGACAACAATGGATCATCTAGCTTGCATCGACAGTATCCTGTGAGCTCTGTCAAAAGTTGGTTTTGAGCAATGTGTTATGACATAACCAATAACACATTTACTACAATTATACCGAAACTTTGTCAGTTAAAAGGCAGATATTGTGCTTTGTACGTAGCCTACGGGTAGGACTGGCAAAAGGTAACAATCTTTATGTAATAATCCTTTCTGAAGGAGTCCCACAACTAATGACATAACAAACCGGAACATTTCGACACAAGACAAACTCTATTGTCACGACTTCCGCCGAGGCTGCCTCCCTTCCTTCTTCGGGCAGGTTTCGGCGTTCGGCATCACCGGCTTACTAGCTACTGCCGATCCATTTATCATCACTCCATTTGTCTTGTCTTCAATCACACACACCTGGTCCTTATTCCCTCATTAGTCATGGTATAAGCGTTCAATCTGTTTCCTTGTCTGTGTGGGTGATTGTTTATTGTGGAGGTTTGTGAAGCTCGGTGAGCTCGTGTATTGTGTATCGACGGGAGTATTTTCCCGTGTGCCTTGTATTTTCCAGTGTGCCTGTTTTGTGCCCTGGAGTGTGTTTGACGCATTTCTGCGTAAACCTGTATTTTGCGGATTAAAGCCTGTTATTCTGTGATTTACCCTCCTGCGTCTGACGTCTTCAACACCACCTCATCACATCTATAAAGAATCTGCACTACTTAATTGAAGCTGAAAGTTTAAAAATAAATCAATAATACCTCTCCCCCAGGAGACGTAGATAAACAAACATTTAAAAATACACACCAAATCACATCGTCCCAGAGTGCAAAGAATCTGGGGGATACAACTCCAGTGGTTATTCTGTTTCTCTTCCATTTTTTGAATCGTGTTTTCTTCTTCTCCCCAGATACGTTTCGTCTGAGCACTCTGGAGTCGGCTGAAGTGGGAGCGGCCATAGGTCGGATCAAGGCTAACGATGCGGACGTGGGGCGGAATGCTGAGATGCAGTATAGCATCGTCGACCGAGATGGACAGGATATGTTCACTATCATCACCGACCAAAACACACAGGAGGGCGTTATCAGGGTGAAAAAGGTAGGCCCTAAACTTCCAATACTATGCTCTCATGTTTTAATCGCCTATGACCCAACTGCTTCAAATCACAAGATACCACTTTGTGTATAGAGAGAGTTATCCTCTCTCTAAACTAAACCCATCTTCTATTATTATCATCTTCATGAAAGTACTTAATTCTGTTCACTGTCAAGAGACCCTTATTCCTCCTGGGAATTTGTATAAAGAGTCTGAGACTTTTGAAATCCAGGTTTAGCTTCTCTTTTCTTAGCCAGGGCCATACTTTTCAGAGCCTCAGCCAATTATGCAAATTGGAGAGCCTAAGTGAAAAGAGGACGGTGCGTACATACTGTATACATAGGCTCAGATTAGAAATGACACCCTGATAGCAGTCCTTTATATCTAAAGGTGCGCTAAAGATTAATGGAATTGACCATCCACCAAGAAACTCATAGATACAGTAAGTATAAAGCTGTAAGGAGATAAGTAGGGGAGCTCCGCTTTACTTTACTAATTCACTAGTTTTTACTTCAACCAAGAATCCACCAAATTTATCAATTTAAGTATCAACTTTCAGTTATGAATAATTATTGATCATTTATCTGTTTCCTTTTCTTCATAGCAACTGGATTACGAGAGACAAAGGACATACTCATTCAAAGTGGAGGTGACTAACACCTATCTGGACCCCAGGTTCATGTACAGTCCGAACCCTCCATTCAAAGACGACGCCATGGTGCGGGTGACGATAGAGGATGTGGATGAGCCGCCAGTGTTCAGCAGGAAACCTTATATCATTGAGGTGCACGAGGATACAGCCGCTGGCAGCTTTGTTGGTGTGGTGTCTGCCAGGGACCCCGATGCTGACAACAACCCAGTCAAGTAAGTAATTGTGTCTGCATGTCAAATTGCACCCTATTCCCTACACAGTGCACTACTTTTGGCCAGGACCCATAGGGCACTGGTCAAAAGAGTGCACTAAATAGGTAATATGGTGCCAGTTGGGAGCAGACCATACATTAAACTGATCTGGCTCAGCATCTTTGTTATAAAGTCAGATAATCTACAGGATTTGATTGGTTGATTGATTGACTACATGTAGTTGGTTGATTAGTTGACTTACTGATTGTTTATAAATGTTCACTCACTGAATAAAGCTGTTTTAATTTAGGTAATTTGATTTTCATAACCTAATGGACTGTTATGGTGTAAGAAACCAATAATTAAAAGGTAGCAATAGAAACAAACAATTCCTGGTGTGGTAATACGTCTATAACAACCATTCAAAGTTTCCTCTTATTAGGTTTTTTGGGGTGGAAATGTGGATCGCTTGGCTAAATCTAATCCATCAGTGTATCTGAGTGTCAGCGTGGAGGGAGGGTGGAAGAAAAGTAAATTATTCATGGGTCCCTCCTCGTTGACAGCACTGGGAAGAGAATACAGACACTGTTTATCTCCACAGAATTATGTAAGCAAGCCCAGTGCGGTAGCGGCACAAAGTCAAAGTGAAAGAGCCTAATTTGCTTTATCGATTAACACTGCTCTGTTCCACACATATGGCGCATGTCTGTCTGTGTATTTGTCTGTCTGTGTATCTGTCTGTGTATCTACCTGCCTGCCTGTCTACCCGTCTGACTATCCGTTCGTCTGTCCGTCTGTCTCTCCAACATGGAGACATGCCAGTCTCTGCTCGTGCAGCACAATGAGGACTGTCAGTAGAATATATAAGTTGACAATGATAAATGAGACAGCAGTATAGAAGTATTCATTATTTCCTGACAAAGGAAATAGAAGGAGAGGTATGATATACTGTGTGGGCCAACGCTGGGTGATTTGTAATGTATTTTTTAATAGAGTCCTGTATTATTATGATGGAATTGATCACAGGAGACAGGAACAACAGCTTTATGTCTGGGGCAAGACATCATGTCTATATTATTAATTTGATTGGATTAATGTGTAGATTAGTATGGGTATATTCAAAATATGGATATTTTTTACACAATCAAATATGATGTATTTATATTACTCTCTGCAGATACTCCATTGACCGCCATACCGATCTGGAGAGACTGTTCAACATTGATTCTGTAAACGGCACCATTACAACACTGAAAGGCCTCGACAGGGAGATGTCAAGATGGCATAACATCTCTGTTGTTGCAACTGAAATAAGTAAGATAAACATCCCTTTTCTATAACTTTTTTTGTAAAACATCTTGTGCATGTTCTCTCAATTTTGTGGCCTTTGTTATTACACAAATTGGTGATGCTAGAGGCTTTTATGCACTTTTCAAAATAGACAAAGACACATAAATGGGATGTGAAAGCTGTACATGTTCACATATCTGCTTATGTTACACCCATCAGATGTCCCAGGTCTAAATCAGTCCCTGATTAGAGGGGAAGAAATAAAAAAAGCAGTGGAACTGGCTTCGAGGTCCAGATTTAAATTTAAGGGGTCTACTGTATGGGCCTGCTAACACACTTCCAAACATCTTGTTTAGGTAACCCTCGCCAAACCACTCGAGTCCCAGTGTTCATCAGGGTCCTGGACGTTAACGACAATGCACCTGAATTTGCCATGTATTACGAGACATTTGTCTGTGAAAATGTCCAATCTGGACAGGTAAAGTAGACATCATAATACTAAGAATGCTGAGGAAAAGCCTGAAGAAAGTACATATGTTTTCGAATGCCTTTTTGTTTCACTATCCACAGCTGATTCAGACGATAAGTGCGGTTGACACAGATGAACCTCTTGTTGGACATAAGTTTGTCTTCAGCATAAGCTCCTCCAATCCAAACTTCACTATCGTTGACAATGAAGGTAAACGTTAGCCTTCTGTCATTTTTTATTGACTAGTAGCATTTACAAGTAGTCAATGATGCTTTGTATCTGGCCATTATCTGTTCATACTGTACACTGTAAACAAATATGTTGTCATTTTTACAGTACAATACTGGCAGCACAGAAGCCAGTAACTTACTGTAGATTTACAGGACATTTACAGAAACACAATCCTACAGCATATTACTGTAACACCTGACTACAGCAACATGCTGTATTTCTAGAGGTTAGGAAACTGTTGTAGACTTACAGTGAAGGCAGCTAGTGCCAAAGATGGGCAGTATTTCTGTTATTTGATATAGGTATTTCAATACTTATTTTGTAATTTGTATATCATTGGCCTGAAGTACAATTTATTTATTTTGTGACAGTTTAATTAGAATACATCTATCTTGTATTTTCAAATATAGAAATTAACTTGTAAGTAGCCCGCTTAACTACAACAACATTCATGGTAACATAATATTTTTACTTGCTACAATTTGACTGTGATATGCTCTTGTTTATCTACCTTAGTTTAATGCACTGACTGTAAGTTGCTCTGGATAAGAGTGTCTGCTAAATGACCAAAATGTACATGTACATTTAAAAATAAACACTTGCAAAGCACACTGCTAGGTATTATTCTAATGAGCTCCGCCCTCAAAGAAGGCCACATTTGATCAAAATACAAATAGTTTGAGAGTGGAACTCATTAGAATAATACCCAGCAGTGTACTTTGCAAGTGTCCATTTTCACAATTAAATTTTGGTCATTTAGCAGACGCTCTTGTCTAGACCGACTTACAGTCAGTGCATTAAACTAAAGTTGATAAATAAATAAACACATATCACAGTCATAGCAAGTAAAACGTTTCTGTAACCATCACTGAGAATGTTGTTGTAGTTAAGGATACATTGGTCTTCAAGATATTTTTTATTTGTAACAAGATACCTTTTGATGCATCTTTGCCCAGCTCTGGCTAGTGCCAAGTATGTTACTATAATATTCACAGTAACTTGCCACCAGCGTCCTTAAAGTTAATGTAATATCAGAGCAATGCTACAGTACCATACTGTAAAATGTGCCTACTATAGGTATTTCCATATTACAGCATATTTATGAATATTAGGTGTTTTATATCACTTGCGCTTCTAGAGATCTAAACAAATGCTTCAAAACTGGCCGTGAGTACAAGGCAAAACAGACCAGAAGAACTTAGCAAAACAGGCAACCAGTAAAGGTTTAAGACTTGCTACCACTCTAATATGTTTCTTATACACATTACATTTATACATTTGTAGGACACTACTACCACATATCAGTTCAATTGGTACAGCATTCTCACTAACGGGTGAATATAGCCACTTACAAGGCACGCCTCTAAATATGTTAATGAGCCAGCAATCCTTTCCCCTCCAACAAAATTTTTCCACAATGCACCCTCATTTACATAATGCTTCAGTAAATATAGAGCAAAACAGCAATACAGTACTTCATTGTTAAATTGTATTGTAATACAATTACAACAATTGCTAACACTGAATATGTAATTATATATTACAGCATACCAATGAATATTTGGTGTTTTATATTACTTGCACTTGTAGAGGCCTTAACAAATGTTTCTAAACTGGCAGTGACTACAGGGCAAAACAGATCAAAAGGATATGGCTAAACACGCAACCATTACAGGTTTGAGATTTGCTGCCTCTCTGATCTGTCCCCTACACATATTAGGGGTGACCTGAGGGGCTTTGAGGTACCAGAACGCATGAAAAAAAATCACCTTTATAATAAAGCATTATTATTGCTTTTGTGTACTGGCATACAGCAGTAGAGTAGAGGCGCTTGCACACATTGGGGGAAAAGTTTGTAGCCCAGGGACAGGAACATTATTGGCCTTTTATGAACGGATTTCATGCAATTCTACATACACTGCTCAAAAAAAATAAAGGGAACACTTAAACAACACAATGTAACTCGAAGTCAATCACACTTCTGTGAAATCAAACTGTCCACTTAGGAAGCAACACTGATTGACAATACATTTCACATGCTGTTGTGCAAATGGAATAGACAACAGGTGGAAATTATAGGCAATTAGCAAGACACCCCCAATAAAGAAGTGGTTCTGCAGGTGGTGACCACAGACCACTTTTCAGTTCCTATGCTTCCTGGCTGATGTTTTGGTCACTTTTGAATGCTGGCGGTGCTTTCACTCTAGTGGTAGCATGAGACGGAGTATACAACCCACACAAGTGGCTCAGGTAGTGCAGCTCATCCAGGATGGCACATCAATGCGAGCTGTGGCAAGAAGGTTTGCTGTGTCTGTCACCGTAGTGTCCAGAGCATGGAGGCGCTACCAGGAGACAGGCCAGTACATCAGGAGACGTGGAGGAGGCCGTAGGAGGGCAACAACCCAGCAGCAGGACCGCTACCTCTGCCTTTATGCAAGGAGGAGCAGGAGCAGCACTGCCAGAGCCCTGCAAAATGACCTCCAGCAGGCCACAAATGTGCATGTGTCTGCTCAAACGGTCAGAAACAGACTCCATGAGGGTGGTATGAGGGCCCGACGTCCACAGGTGGGGGTTTTGCTTACAGCCCAACACCGTGCAGGACGTTTGGCATTTGCCAGAGAACACCAAGATTGGCAAATTCGCCACTGGCGCCCTGTGCTCTTCACAGATGAAAGCAGGTTCACACTGAGCACATGTGACAGACGTGACAGAGTCTGGAGACGCCGTGGAAAGCGTTCTGCTGCCTGCAAAATCCTCCAGCATGACCGGTTTGGCGATGGGTCAGTCATGGTATGGGGTGGCATTTCTTTGGGGGGCCGCACAGCCCTCCATGTGCTCGCCAGAGGTAGCCTGACTGCCATTAGGTACTGAGATGAGATCCTCAGACCCCTTGTGAGACCATATGCTGGTGCGGTTGGCCCTGGGTTCCTCCGAATGCAAGACAATGCTAGACCTCATGTGGCTGGAGTGTGTCAGCAGTTCCTGCAAGAGGAAGGCATTGATGCTATGGACTGGCCCGCCCGTTCCCCAGACCTGAATCCAATTGAGCACATCTGGGACATCGTGTCTCGCTCCATCCACCAACGCCACGATGCACCACAGACCCAGGAGTTGGCGGATGCTTTAGTCCAGGTCTGGGAGGAGATCCCTCAGGAGACCATCCGCCACCTCATCAGGAGCATGCCCAGGAGTTGTAGGGAGGTCATACAGGCACGTGGAGGCCACACACACTACTGAGCCTCATTTTGACTTGTTTTAAGGACATTACATCAAAGTTGGATCAGCCTGTAGTGTGGTTTTCCACTTTAATTTTGAGGGTGACTCCAAATCCAGACCTCCATGGGTTGATAAATTTGATTTCCATTGATCATTTTTGTGTGATTTTGTTGTCAGCACATTCAACTATGTAAAGAAAAAAGTATTTAATAAGATTATTTCATTCATTCAGATCTAGGATGTGTTGTTTAAGTGTTCCCTTTGTTTTTTTGAGCAGTGTATTTTTAGATGACTGAAGACTTTAGCAGAATAGTTTTTAATACCTCACAAATCGAAATGACAGGCTACTTTGACACAGACAAACTGAGAATCTGAGATCAATAAAAACGACCTTGTCTTGAATCCATCAATGGCCTAGGGCTAGGTGTGTGGAGACACATACAGTATATTGTACAATATGCAGAAGAAAATATAGTTCTAAAAAAGCTTTACAGTTTCACTGACTCACCCAATGATGCGCAGCTCACTCACCGGCGATGGCTGGTGTCAAAAGCCTCTCTCCTGTTTTACTTTGTAAAACAATGCTGTTCGCTCAATAGGCCTATTTGGTGAGCCTACAGGCTGATTGGTCTTCTCTTTTCCACAGGAGCCATTTGCTTTCCAATCTGTCTTTTCCCACGATTGGATTTGAAATATTGCGATAGGCCTGTTTTGGCTGCATGTCAGTGTAGCGGAATGCCATTGAGCCCCCAAAATGCATTGCTCTTTACAGTACTGTTTTGTAATATAGAATTACAGTAGCTAACTGTACAATTTTTGCTGTGAATTTACAGCAATTTGTTACAGTGATGGTGTGAGATGTATTATGTCCTTTTTTTAACCTATGGAGCTGCAACAATACAAGCTTTAGGGGGACCATTTGTTTAAAACATTAGAAACTACCTTTCATTTCTCATATCCTCTATTTCTTTCCTCTGCGATCCACCCCTTAGATAACACAGCCAGGATCCTGACTCGGAGGGCAGGATTCAGCCGGCGTGAGATGAATACCTACCTACTGCCCGTAGTGATCTCGGACAATGACTACCCTATCCAGAGCAGCACCAGCACTTTGACTGTGAACGTGTGTGCCTGCGACAGCCGGGGGAACATGCAGTCCTGCAACACTGAGGCTCTGCTGTCTGCCGGGCTGAGCACTGGAGCCCTGGTGGCTATCCTGCTCTGTGTCATTATCCTCTTGAGTAAGTATTACTATCAATCACACTGGTACAGACAGTCAACAGCCTTGTGTAGAGCCCATAGGGCTCTGGTCAAATTTAGAGAAATCTAGGGAATATGGTGCCATTTGGGAGACTCCCAAATACTCAAGTACTCTTCTTAAGTCTAAACATACGGTACAGTAGAACCCACTTATCCACTTATTAAAAGGTGGGGGCAATTATTCTGGGCTGTGTTGGACTCTACCACAACTAACTATACTGCACTGTGCTGAACTGGTCTGTAGCCACAAAGTCCTTCGACAGCACTTAAATCCACTGTGTTACTTCTGTGACTCTACACCTTGTTCTTCTTTGTGTCTATTCCTTTCATTATCAAACTTCTTCAACTAAAGATAGTTGAAAGTAGGACCACTCGCTGAGACATTACTTTGCTGGCTGCTTGTGTAAATAGTGTGTTTTCTCATGAAAATGGTGCAGCGGGATGAAAGCTTTCATTAGTGGATATATCCACTTGACAAAAAGGTCTTTGTGTTTTTCCGTGCTAAAGTAGGTCACATGCTATTTCCTGACTTCCTAAAGCACCACTTCAGCCCCCTTTGTGAGCTAATGCAGTATGTAAACGCACACAGTGCAAAACAGCAAGTGTGCATGTAATTTTCCCCGGCAAAAAGCTAAAATATGTAGTGCTTATGTTCAAGGGTATATCAATAAGTAATGGCCAAAAAACTTACTTTGAACCTGATACTGCACTTGGCCAAGCATAACCCAGTGCCACCTAAAGAGCATCATCTAGGAGCCATAAAAAGTCATGACAGTGACCTATCGGCAACATAAATACCAATCCACTCAGTTTTGCTTCACATCGTACCTAAGAACAGCCCTTAGCCAAGTGTTATGCACGATATTACAACGGTTCTAATGTGCCTGAGTGTTTGCCATTCTTCCTCCTCACTCGATACTGCAGACACCCAGCTCATCTATTGACGTGTTCACCTGTTCATGTGTATGCTCTCTTTCTTTCACAAACACTTGTTCCATGATCTCCGTTTAACTAGAATCATGTTCGCATCCTCACCTAGCCACTGATCCCTCGCTAGCAAATTAAGTATTGACATATCTTCCACTGCATGCCTGTTCCTCCTCACAGTCCCACTTCACTTGTCTGTCTCGCACTGAAGAGAGCTCTACTGTAGCTCTGGCTTCTGGCTCACGCAGATTGGAAGTGCTGAAGGTTGAACCCCATGCTCGCCTCTTGAGCGAAATATCATGACATCTGCTCATTATCCAATGGTTTTCTCGCTTGAACCCCTATGACAGGCTGTCTAATTTACCTCTTCTACGCCTCCGACAGACAGGCAGGCAGTCAGTAGGCGCTGGGCTGGAACGGTTTGCCCTCCTGCTCCTCCTCCTCCTCCTCCTCCTCCTCGCCACCCCAAACAACCCAAAACCACGGCATGGGTCAGTCAGAAAGGTCTGGAAACAGGGCCTCTAAAGAGCCCCTCCTGCAGAGAGAGCTTTATAATTAACGCCTAAGTGGGAGGCAGGTAGAGCACTACAGCACCTGCTGAGAGGTGGAAAGAGGAGGAGGAGGAAGAGGAGGAGGAGGGAGTAACACTGGCTGGCTTCAGCATGAAGCCCCAATGAGAGGGAATATTTTTTGCTATTTTTGCTCCTTTTTCATGAAAATAATGAGCTGTATCCCACAATAATCCCACGCTCTCATAGTGCCACTCTGGATGCAAATTCCTGCACATGCTGGCAAGTTTTGATTAAAAGTCTGGCTCAAAAATGAAAATATGATAAGATGCATTTAATCATGTGTGTAAGGGTAGTCTGACTTCAGAGAGAAAAAAGGAAGCACTCTTTCAAGTGCTACAGCTTTTCTACAGTGAATGTGACGTTAAGCGGAAAAGAGAAAGAAAATCTTTTCTGCTCAATCTTTAATACAAGGAGGTGAGTGCAGCGGATTTATCCCAGATAGCAAATGTGTCTTTCTCTCTTCTGTGAATTTCTGAGTCTCCTTAATGCATGACACATGTATCGAAGCACACTCCTCTCCTCTCCCATCTCATACTCAAGTTCTTCTCTCTCTTTCCCTCTCTCTTTGTGTCTATAGTGATCGTGGTGCTGTTCGCTGCCCTGAGGAGGCAGCAGAGGAAGAAGGAGCCTCTGATCATCTCCAAAGAGGATGTGAGAGACAACGTCGTCAGCTACAATGATGAAGGGGGCGGAGAGGAGGACACCCAGGCCTTTGATATCGGCACGCTGCGCAACCCAGAGGTGATGGACGCTAAGAAGCTGCGCAGGGACATCATCCCAGAGATGCTCTTTCCCTTCCAGAGGACATCACCTATAAAGGATAACGCCGACGTCAGAGAATTCATTCACGGGAGGCTCCATGAGAACGACTCGGACCCCACCGCACCGCCCTACGACTCCCTGGCCACCTACGCCTACGAGGGGAGCGGCTCGCTAGCCGAGTCCCTCAGCTCCCTGGAGTCTGGATGTACGGAGGGGGACCAGGAGTATGATTACCTCAGCAACTGGGGACCACCATTCAAAAAACTAGCAGACATGTATATAGGGAAGGACACGGCGAGAGAAACCTAGATCACAGTTAGGCCTATAATAAAGCAGCTCATCATCAACGTCATGTCTCAATAATCTCTCACACACTTTCCTCCCACCAATCCATTGATTCATATGAATGGTCAAGTAGAATTCAAGACTTGAACATTAAACTCAATACTGGTGGTGACATTTCTCACAGTTTTACTGTTTTTGGTATAATCAGTAAAGATGCCTTTGAATTTAAAATTTTAGGAAAATTTGTGAACAATGGTGTGGACAATGTGTTTTGTAACTGAGGAGCGAGATAGTAGTCTTGTATACTATCAATGTTTAATGGGAAAACATATTCATTAAAAAAAAAAGTTCAAAAAATAGCTTTTCTTGCTAAGTGAATTTGAAATAGATACATGTATGAACTGTTTTTCCATGATGGACATACTATATCCTATTTGCTATCTTTGTTTGACAAGCAATGTTCATGTGAACGGTTGGTAAGATTTATTCGTCAAACAGTGGATCCATTTCATCATAGGTATACAATGTAATAAGGACGTGTACGTTGTAGGGTAACTGTCACACACTGAATTCATGTTGTTTGAATGCCAAGTCGAATTGTTTTATATTTATATTTTTATACTTATTTTATTAATAAAAATTCTAAAAAAAAACACTTCACTTTTTCCCTATTTTTCCATAGATAAGTGCATATTTCATGCCTTGGCCTCTATGAAATACAAATTGATACATCATATCAGTGGAATTTGATAGTATCACAGTTCCACAATATTCAGCAGATGATGCGCATTGTAAATCTTACATGGCCACATCTGAACTACGGAAAACTACACGAGCTACAACCACCACCTCAATTTATTGTTAGGCACTATGGTGCAATATAAATCTGGTAGCAGTAATATATCAGCATCATGGGTATTGCTAGGGAGGTTTTTCATAATATGATCAATAGCTCTTGAATCTCCCTTTATGGACACATTTTCTCTTGTTGAATTAGTGTTCTGTTTTTTTCCCCCATCCAATTTATTATATTCCAGCTATCTTTCTCTCTCTTCCCTCCGATGTTACACACAACATTAACTTCCTACTTGTTTAGTCCAAGCACAATTATGGATAATGTAGCTGTATGCATATTTTGAGACGAGTGGAATCAAATCCAATGTAGCAAATGGCTGTGTCCCAAAATGGCACTGTATTGCCTACATGGTGAGCTACAGTGAGGGAAAAAAGTATTTGATCCCCTGCTGATTTTGTATGTTTACACACTGACAAAGACATGATCAGTCTATAATTTTAATGGTAGGTTTATTTGAACAGTGAGAGATGGAATAACAACAACAAAATCCAGAAAAACGCATGTCAAAAATGTTATAAATTGATTTGCATTTTAATGAGGGAAATAAGTATTTGACCCCTCTGCAAAACATGACGTAGTACTTGGTGGCAAAACCCTTGTTGGCAATCACAGAGGTCAGATGTTTCTTGTAGTTGGCCACCAGGTTTGCACACATCTCAGGAGGGATTTTGTTCCAGTCCTCTTTGCAGATCTCCTCCAAGTCATTAAGGTTTCGAGGCTGACGTTTGGCAACTCGAACCTTCAGCTCCCTCCACATATTTTCTATGGGATTAAGGTCTGGAGACTTGCTAGGCCACTCCAGGACCTTAATGTGCTTCTTCTTGAGCCACTCCTTTGTTGCCTTGGCCGTGTGTTTTGGGTCACTGTCATGCTGGAATACCCATCCACGACCCATTTTCAATGCTCTGGCTGAGGGAAGGAGGTTCTAACCCAAGATTTGATGGTACATGGCCCCGTCCATCGTCCCTTTGATGCGGTGAAGTTGTCCTGTCCCTTTAGCAGAAAAACACCCCCAAAGCATAATGTTTCCACCTCCATGTTTGACGGTGGAGATGGTGTTCTTGGGGTCATAGGCAGCATTCCTCCTCCTCCTCCAAAGACGGTGAGTTGAGTTGATGCCAAAGAGCTCAATTTTGGTCTCATCTGACCACAACACTTCCACCCAGTTCTCCTCTGAATCATTCAGATGTTCATTGGCAAACAGACGGCCCTGTATATGTGCTTTCTTGAGCAGGGGGACTTTGCGGGCGCTGCAGGATTTCGGTCCTTCACGGCGTAGTGTGTTACCAATTGTTTTCTTGGTGACTATGGTCCCAGCTGCCTTGAGATCATTGACAAGATCCTCCTGTGTAGTTCTGGGCTGATTCCTCACTGTTCTCATGATCATTGCAACTCCACGAGGTGAGATCTTGCATGGAGCCCCAGGCAGAGGGAGATTGACAGTTCTTTTGTGTTTCTTCCATTTGCGAATAATCGCACCAACTGTTGTCACCTTCTCACCAAGCTGCTTGGCGATGGTCTTGTAGCCCATTCCAGCCTTGTGTAGGTCTACAATCTTGTCCCTGACATCCTTGGAGAGCTCTTTGGTCTTGGCCATGGTGGAGAGTTTGGAATCTGATTGATTGATTGCTTCTGTGGACAGGTGTCTTTTATACAGGTAACAAACTGAGATTAGGAGCACTCCCTTTAAGAGTGTGCTCCTAATCTCAGCTCGTTACCTGTATAAAATACACCTGGGAGACAGAAATCTTTCTGATTGAGAGGGGGTCAAATACTCATTTCCCTCATTGAAATGCTAATCAATTTATAACATTTTTGACATGCGTTCTTCTGGATTTTTTTGTTGTTATTCTGTCTCTCACTTTTCAAATAAACCTACCATTAAAATTATAGACCGATAATTTCTTTGTCAGTGGGCAAACGTACAAAATCAGCAGAGGATCAAATACTTTTTTCCCTCACTGTAGTAGGCCTAGCTGATGGGATCCTCCTCTTTTTAATGGAGGCCATCACTCTGTTTTCTCAAGCAATTGCATAGCCTATAGAAATGTTGTGCAACATGAGCTCATTGGCTCTCATGAAGTGTTTTATTACATTTACATTACATTTACGTCATTTAGCAGACGCCCTTATCCAGAGCGACTTACAAATTGGTGCACTCACCCTATAGCCAGTGGGTTAACCACTTTACAATATTTTATTTTTGTTTTTGTTTTGGGGGGGGGTAGAAGGATTACTTTATCCTATCCCAGGTATTCCTTAAAGAGGTGGGGTTTCAAATGTCTCAGGAAGGTGGTGAGTGACTCCGCTGTCCTGGCGTCGTGAGGGAGCTTGTTCCACCATTGGGGTGCCAGAGCAGCGAACAATTTTGACTGGGCTGAGCGGGAACTATGCTTCCGCAGAGGAAGGGGAGCCAGCAGGCCAGAGGTGGATGAACGCAATGCCCTCGTTTGGGTGTAGGGACTGATCAGAGCCTGAAGGTACGGAGGTGCCGTTCCCCTCACTGCTCCATAGGCAAGCACCATGGTCTTGTAACGGATGCGAGCTTCAACTGGAAGCCAGTGGAGTGTGCGGAGGAGGGGGGTGACGTGAGAGAACTTGGGAAGGTTGAACACCACAACCGCTTCCTGTGTAAGGCAGGGTCGTACTCTCCGAATGTTGTAGAGCATGAACCTGCAGGATCGGGTCACCGCCTTGATGTTAGCGGAGAACGACAGGGTGTTGTCCAGGGTCACGCCAAGGCTCTTCGCACTCTGGGAGGAGGACACAACGGAGTTGTCAACCGTGATGGCGAGATCATGGAACGGGCAGTCCTTCCCCGGGAGGAAGAGCAGCTCCGTCTTGCCAGGGTTCAGCTTGAGGTGGTGATCCGTCATCCATACTGATATGTCGGCCAGACATGCAGAGATGCAATTCGCCACCTGGTTATCAGAAGGGGGAAAGGAGAAGATTAGTTGTGTATCGTCAGCGTAGCAATGATAGGAGAGGCCATGTGAGGATATGACAGAGCCAAGTGACTTGGTGTATAGGGAGAAAAGGAGAGGGCCTAGAACTGAGCCCTGGGGGACACCAGTGGTGAGAGCACGTGGTGCGGAGACAGCTTCTCGCCACGCCACTTGGTAGGAGCGACCGGTCAGGTAGGACGCAATCCAGGAGTGAGCCGCGCCGGAGATGCCCAGCTCAGAGAGGGTGGAGAGGAGGATCTGATGGTTCACAGTATCAAAGGCAGCAGACAGGTCTAGAAGGACAAGAGCAGAGGAGAGAGAGTTAGCTTTAGCAGTGCGGAGAGCCTCCGTGACACAGAGAAGAGCAGTCTCAGTTGAATGACCAGTCCTGAAACCTGACTGGTTTGGATCAAGAAGGTCATTCTGAGAGAGATAGCAAGAGAGTTGACTAAAGACGGCACGCTCAATAGTTTTGGAAAGAAAAGAAAGAAGGGATACTGGTCTGTAGTTGTTGACATCAGTGGGATCGAGTGTTGGTTTTTTGAGAAGGGGTGCAACTCTCGCTCTCTTGAAGACGGAAGGGACATAGCCAGCGGTCAAGGATGAGTTGATCAGCGAGGTGAGGTAGGGGAGAAGGTCACCGGAGATGGTCTGGAGAAGAGAGGAGGGGATGGGGTCAAGCGGGCAGGTTGTTGGGCGGCCAGCAGTCACTAGTCGCAAGATTTTATCTGGAGAGAGAGGGGAGAAAGAAGTCAAAGCATAGGGTAGGGCAGTGTGAGCAGGACCAGCAGTGTCATTAGACTTAACAAACGAGGATCGGATGTCGTCAACCTTCTTTTCAAAGTGGTTGACGAAGTCATCCACAGAGAGGGAGGAGGGGGGGGTGGGGGGGAGGATTCAGCAGTGAGGAGAATGTGGCAAAGAGCTTCCTAGGGTTAGAGGCAGATGCTTGGAATTTAGAGTGGTAGAAAGTGGCCTTAGCAGCAGAAACAGATGAAGAAAATGTAGAGAGGAGGGAGTGAAAAGATGCCAGGTCGGCAGGGAGTTTAGTTTTCTTCCATTTCCGCTCAGCTGCCCGGAGCTCTGCTCTGTGAGCTCGCAATGAGTCATCAAGCCACGGAGCTGGAGGGGAGGACCGAGCCGGCCGGGAGGATAGGGGACACAGGGAGTCAAAGGATGCAGAAAGGGAGGAGAGGAGGGTTGAGGAGGCAGAATCAGGAGAT